CTTATAGTGGGGTCATCACAACATGACAAACTGTATTAAAGTATCACAGCATTAGTAAGGTTGAGAACTGCTGATCTAGTCAAACCCTCATTAAGATTTTCTTTCCAGGTGATTCCACATCCTGTCAGTCAAAAATCAAAACTAACCACCACACTTGGATTTAAATGGTACAGGAGTTATGAATGTCAGTACAGGAAGACAATCATTTTCATAGAGGATGCCAGTGGTCTCTCTATACTATTTAGCCTGACTCGGATTATTACTGTTCAGCCAGAGACCTCGCTAAAAGTATTGCCCAATTCCCATTTCTACAGAGCTGGTGGACTCTACATTGGTAGAAAAGGAATTTAGAGAGGGGTCAGATGTTGGCAGGGCATCGTGGAAAGTAGTCGCTGAAGGTGGCTGAGAGAAAACTCAGAATAAGATTTAGATTTGATATCACATATCTGGGACTAACTGTCTTCCATTTTCACCAGGTGTCTGCAGACTGATATAATGGCTATAGGGGGAGCAAAGGAAATGAATCTGTTAATGCATCCCATCTCTATGTCTGAGGACTGCCTGTATCTCAACATCTGCACACCAGCTCATGCCCATGAGGGCTCTAACTTACCCGTGAGTGTCAGATTGTAGTCAGCTGGGGAAGAGTATGTTTATTCTTTTGGAAGATTGGAAGGGACAAAGTAATTCTGAGCTCCATTGTAGTTTACACCCTGATTAGTAGTCTTAATTTATTGGGTTCAAGAAGTTCATCTCAGTCATGGTGAGCTGCTTAAACCTGGGTGTGTAGCTCAGCACACTGGGACTCTGAGATGTAAAAGGCTTTAAGTATTTTAAACCAGGAATTCTTCTATCAACTTGAACCTGGCAGACCCATTCTGGAGGGTGCTCAGGGGCTCCATATTGACATAACCAAAATTTCTAGCTGCAGGTTATCTGTTGTGCTAATGGGATCTGATGACTCTTCTGGTTAGCAATGATGAAAGACACTAATGGAAACACTCCTATTTGCTCCACTTTGATGGGTCAGAGAGTTATGATAACATTACTTTAGATATAGAGCCATTAATTCATGCTGAGATGGGGAACTGGGAATGGAAATATGCTTATATATCTAGAATATCCCATCTGTGGACTATGTCCTGAAATCTTTAGGAAATCTGTGTATATGTTGACCTAAATAGAGGCAAAGCAGTAGATAATCTAATAGGCAGTCCTATTGACCTTTGAGTGGCTATGGGCCTCCTAAGATCTGTGTTGATATCTCTAGGTGATGGTGTGGATACATGGTGGTGGGCTGGTTATAGGAATGGCTTCCATGACTGATGGATCCATACTGGCAGGTACTGAGAATATAGTAATGGTTGCTATCCAGTATCATTTGGGTATCCTTGGCTTCTTCAGGCGACTCTGGGATTGGGGTGTATAATGGGTTTCTGAGTTAAACATGGACAGACCTGTGATTCTTGTCCCTTCCATTTCTCAGAACTGGAGATGAGCACGCCAGAGGCAACTGGGGCTACCTGGACGAAGTGGCTGCCTTACACTGGGTCCAACAGAATATTGCCTACTTTGGAGGCAACCCTATATTTAGTGGGTCAGCAGGTGGCACAGTGTTTCCTCACTTGTCATGTCCCCAATGAACAAAGGACTCTTCCCTGGAGCCAATATGCAGAGTGGAGTGGCCCTGCTGCCTGACCTTATCTCTGAGAAGTCTGAGGTGGTCTACACAGTGAGTGCCCTCAACAATACTAGCCCATACTTTGCTGCTTCAGTCCTTGTCTGTCTCTGGTTCTCTATTATTCTGCTAAGTAAGGAAAACAAGGATCATGGGAAAGAGCCTCTTTCCATTATTTCTGAGGCATAAAATTTAGAATCTACTCCCTTTACTTCATGTCTGCTAAGTATGTTATATGAAATCAAGGCTGTGTCCAGTGGCTTCCATCACTGGCAAAACCATGTATGCATGGTTTTCTTGTTTGCTTCTTATTGCTGTGATAAAGACCCATGACCAAAAGTTACTTAGGTAAAAAAGGTTTATTTCAGCCTCCAATTTATAGTTCATCTTGAGAAGAAGGTAGAGTAGGAACTCTGGTGGGTACAGGTGGCCAAAACTGAAGTAGAGACCATGGAGGAACACTGCTCACCAGCTTGATACCCAATGCTTCCTCGGTTTGCTTTCCTATACACCACAGGACACCTGCATATGAGTGGCACTGCACACAGTGTAATGGGGCCTTCTACATCAGTAATTTACCAGAAAAAGGCCCAGAATTTTCTACTAGCCAATCTGATAGGGCATTTTCTCAATCTCGGTTGCTTTTTCCAGATGACAGTTGCTTTTGTCAAGTAGAAAAAAAAACCTAACTGGGACATGTGGATTGAGGAAAAGGGTCATTTCACTCCGGGTAGGGTCTAGGCATTCCCCTAAGAGTCCAGGCTGAGAGAGCATCCCTCTTTGTGCTATGGGCACACAATGACTGTTTGTATTCCAGGGATAGACACTGATCCACTGCTCAAGGCCCCTTAGGTTGCCCAGGGCTTCTCACTGACACTCACATTTGGAGGGGTCCAGATCAGTCCCATGTTAGCCTCCCTGCTGTCAGTCTGGGGTCCAAGAGCTCTCCCCTGTTCAGATCAGCTGTCTCTGCTGGTTTTGCCAGCCCATTCTTTGCCAATTTGCTCATCACTCCTCTCTCTCTGCCACTGGGTTCCTTGGGTTCAGTTCAGTGTTTAACTGTGTGTTTGCCTCTGCTTCCATCAGCCACTGGATGAAGGCTCCCAGATGGTTATAGACATTTAGTTCACTATCAGGAATGGGCATTCGAGGTGGTCTCTCCCCTATTACTTAGCTTGCCAATTGGTGTTATCCCTTTAGATCACTGGAGGTCACTCTGGTGCCTGATCCGTCTTCTAACCTATGATTCCCTCTTCCCCTTATTCTACCCCCACCCACTCAACTTCCTGTTCCCCCATGACCTCTCCCCCTCTCTTCTTCCCAGCTCCCACTCCCCCTTACCCCTCACCGTGTTCCCCATCCATTCAGAGGATCTTGTCTCAATCCTCTTCTCTTGGGTACTATGCATATATGCATATCTTTTAGGTTCATTCCTGTTTCCCAGAGTCTCTAGAAACCATATATGAGTGAGTACATACCATGTTTGCCTTTTTGTGACTGGGTTACCTCACTCAGGATGGCTTCCTCCAGTGCCATCCATTTACCTGTGAATTTTAAAATTCCATTGTTTTTTTCTGCTGAGTAATACTCCATTGTGTAAATGTACCACATTTTCTCCACCCACTCTTCAGTTGAGGGGCATCTAGGTTGCTTCCAGGTTCTGGCTATTACAAATAATGCTGCTATGAACATAGTGGAGCAGATGCCCTTGTTGTATGAATTTGCCTCATTTGTATATATGCCCAAGAGTGCAATTGCTGGGTCTTGTGGAAGATTAATTCCCATTTTCCTGAGGAATCTCCACACTGATTTCCAAAGAGGCTGTATGAGTTGGCACTCTCACCAGCAGTGGAGTAGAGTTCCCCTCTCTCCACATCCTCTCCAGCATAAATTGTCTTCGGTGTTTTTGATTTTAGCCATTCTGACAGGAGTAAGATGGTATCTCAGAGTTGTTTTGATTTGCATTTCCCTGATGGCTAAGGATGTTGAGCACTTTCTTAAGTGTCTCTTGGCCATTTTAGCCTCCTCTACTGAGAATTCTCTATTTAGCTCTGTACCCCACCTTTCAAGTGGATCCTTTGGTGTTTTGGAGACTTGTTTCTTGAGTTCTTTGTAAATTTTGGAGATTAGCCTTCTGTCAGATGTGGGGTTAGTGAATATCTTTTCCCATTCTGTGGACTGCCTTCTTGTCTTGTTGACTGTGTCCTTTGCCTTACAGAAGCTTTTTAGTTTCAGGAGGTCCCATTTGTTAATTGTCGATCTCAGTGTTTGCGCCACTGGTGTTATGTTTAGGAAGTGGTCTCCTGTACCAACTCGTTGAAGAGTATCTCCCACTTTCTCTTCTATTTATAGACTTTTATCTCTGATTTTGATATAACATGTTAATTTTTTATTGTGACTCATAAACTTCTATTTGTAGACTTTTATCTCTGATTCATCATAGGTTCTGAGATATCAGCTTGACCCTAGTGTTGGAGCAAGCAAGGCCCAATAATTGCTTGCCAATGATATGTGTGATATTGATCAAGAAGTGGTGGTAGGAGAACTTTCATCCAATCCTGAAGACCTAACTTCCACTTTTTGCTGCACATGGTGCAATTAGAGGATAGACTTACACAAATTGCCCCTTCACCTCCATGTGAGAGCCGTGGCCAGGGAGAATCCATACACATATGTACATGAGCACAATAAATAAATAAATGCAAAACTAAAAATATTTGTTAAATGGATCAATGACTGTGAAGTTGATCTTGGCAGGAACTGGATACTAGAGGACACACATCATGAGGGTGGAGTGAATAGGGGCTGTCGATTTTAAAAGCCCCAGAATTGCTTTGATCAAACAACTATGACCCAACAGTGAGGTGCCTAAGTAGACCCTAAGATTGTTGCAGGGACCAGGGACCCTGCAAGCAGGCTCACTAAACTTGAGTCTTAAAAGCACAGAGGAGTCTTGAGGATGAGGTCACACCTAGACTTGTCTGTCTCTCCTGTGACATCTTGAGTGTGTGCCTACTCAGAGCCCTCTGTCTCTCCTGTGACATCTTGGTTGTGTAACTACTCACAGAGTCCTCTGTCTCTCCTGTGAAATCTTGAATATGTAACTACTCACAGAGTCCTCTGTCTCTCCTATTAAAGCTTTCTGCCCAGGAGGACAGAGCTCCTGGTATAACAGAATAGCTTCAGAATCCATACTGTGCCTTATCAGAAGGCCAAAGAGGAATGAGAAAGCAGACGAGACTTTGCCCTGCCTCCTGAACATTGACTCCTTTTCATTTCTGACTAATCTGTTCTCCAACAAAGGTAACTCTGCCAACCACACCAAGTTCCCGCCTACATCCTTTTTATTTAAAATCCTGCCTGAGCAAGCCTAGAAGTTTCTGCTTCCTGTTTGTGAAATGTGGCCATCCTATATAGCAGCAGAGACTCTGGCCTGAGACCTGACAATGCCACTGAACCAACTTCATGGCTGGCTGAATGCTGTGGTCTTTGGGCTCCTGCTTATCCTCCTCCATGTGCAGGGTGAGGCTCACTAAATGGGGAATTATGAGAGTCAGAACTGCCAAATTCTGCAAAATCAGAGGCTGAGTTTGTGGGAGGGAAGACAAAGGGATTGGGGGGGCTTGTGGAAATGATAGGATCTGGCAGATAGACAAAATTCTGGGAAATGTGTGCCTCCCAGTCTCCTGACCAAAGCCCACAGGTTTTGTGGCTCACTAGCACACAGAGACTTGGAGATATCTAAGACCACTGAATCCTAAGGAGACAGTTCAGTGTAAGAATCTCTGGAGAGTGCTAGATAATTCAAGAAAAAGTGAGCTGAAGGCATTTTTCCCATCCTCAGTGTGGCTATGAATGCAGCTGCTACTGACCTTTCAATTAAAATAACAATAATCATAAATTCATGTGGACAAATGACTCAGAGTGTGTGACTTCTTTGGCCACAGAAATACAGTGACACCCTTTACATAGCAATAGGAAATGTTCCTGGCCCTGAGTGATAGGGAGCTTCCACACTCACACCCCATAGCTGAACCAGGAGGTCCTGGGTTCCCTTCCTGTGTCCTGGTAATCGTAAGATGAGAATTCCCACAGCCTGCTGGCAGCTGACTGCACAAAACTAACCCTGATGGCATCTCTCCCCACAGGTCAGGACTCACCAGAGGACAGGCCCATCAGGAACACAATCACAGGCCCGGTCCGAGGCAGCCTCATCCAAGTGAGTGACACAAAAGTTGGTGTCCACACCTTCCTGGGAATTCCCTTTGCCAAGCCACCTGTAGGACCACTGCGCTTTGCACCCCCTGAAGCCCCTGAGCCATGGAGTGGTGTGAGAGATGGAAGCTCATATCCAGCCATGTAAGTTCTGGACCTAGAGGATGTCAGGTCCTGGGGTGAAAAGATGCTGTGAGCTATGAGCCATGGTGAAGCGTTTCCTCCATTTCAGCTACACAGTATTTTCTCTCATTGTGGGGTTAACCCCATTCATTGTTGTAACCCACGTGGTAAGGTTGAATATAATAACCTTGCCAGTCTACTAGGTCAGAGCTTGGAAGCCATAGAGAATTAGATGCCAATGCTTTAGAGAGAAACAAAGAATAAATTGTTTACAGATTCAAATTAAGCCCAGTGTTCACTTCCACAATGGCAGAGATCTCTAGGCATCAGTTGTGTGACCTATTAAGCAGAGAGCACCCCTGACTGCAGTAGAATATGCTCCAGGTCCTGAGGAGTGTAGCAGAGATGGATACTTGCCAACCCCACCCTTGCAGTCACACTGACAACCTATAGGGCCAAGCAATATTGACCAAGGAATTATATGTAATTAATTCCCTCTAGAGACACCGTAGAAAAAATTCCCTAGGAGCCTGTACATGGGATGAAGGATTTCTCACTGCTCTTTAGGCCAGTATTGTCCACTGATTCTCTAGCACATGTGGAGTACCACACTCCAGTACTGCAGTCTTAGTTTGTTTTCTGTGGCTGATAAAGTACTGATAAAAGCAACTTAGGGGAGAAAACTACTACCAAAGGCTCCAGATTACAAACCATAATATGAGGGAATTCACATTGAAAGAGAATTACAGGAGCTGGTTGCATCATATCAATAAACAGGAACAGAGAGTGGAAAAAGCTTGTATGACTGCTAATTCTTAAGTCACTTTTCTATTCTTATGAATTTCAGTGAATGCCACTACATACAGCCAATCATTTCCATAGAGACACCTAAAAGTCTCTGTAGGGACAGATCTCCGGTACTCTTAGCACTGACCATGCTGTGGTCACAGGTATGTGGGGGGGTGAGGCAGGGATAAAAGACTGGGAGGATAGACATTTGGCTCTCTCTTGCTGGGGATTCGAGTTGGGTCTCTGAAGCCACTGAGACCAACTTGGGTTGTCAGTTTCTCTTGTAAGAAGCTTCCACAATAAATAGCCATCCTTACCCTTCTAAAGTGTGTGATTCATATTTCAGAAACAAGTCTCTATATCCTAGACTTAGAAAAAATATGCAGACAAACATAACTGGAGGACTCCCTAGAAATCTGGCTTCACCCTAACTGCCATACAGTCTGTGGCTTTACCTTGGTGGGACGGACTTTAGAGGGGGAATATGTACTAATGGGGCATCAAAAAGAGCAGTAGCTATAGTTGGCTGAGAAAGGCCTAGACTCACAACTGGTTTTGATCACCATACATCTCTTTGAATATCTGTCTTCTATTTCCATCAGGTGTCTGCAAAACATTGAAAAGATGAATGTAGAAGGTCTGGAGGATAGGAAACTGACCCTGCCTCCTATATCTATGTCTGAGGACTGCCTGCACCTCAACATCTATGCACCAGCTCATGCCCATGAGGGCTCTAACCTGCCTGTGAGTCTCAGGACATGGTCAGCTTGGGGACAGGACATGTTTTTCAAGATGATTAGAAGGGGCAAAAGCAACCTGAGCTCTGCTGTAGACTCTAATGAAAAGCCTTGTCTTGTTCTTGTCAAAGAAGACCTTCTCAGCCATACTATGCAGCAGATACCTGGGCATGAGACACAAAGCATTGAGTGATCAAAGGCTCTAGATCTTTGGTAACACCAGGAATCTGCTACAACCTGAGCCCTAAAGAACCACTTGTGTGTTTAAGCCTCAAAGTTGAGGTCCCCATTTCTACTTCTGGGTTTTCTGCAGTGCCAATGAGAGTTTATGGTCCTTTCCTCTTTTTTAAAAGTCTGGAAGATATCCATGGAGACACCACTCATTGTTCCACTACAGCATGTCTGAATAGTGATACCATTACTGTATACATAGAACCATTAATTAAAACTAAGGTACATGATGAGTGTGTGGACTATAAATACACTGATGGTGTTACTAGAGGACCCTGTCATGAAACAATGCCTTAAAGTGCTGAATATTTATTTGTATGTAGTTGTAAAGCTGCAGAGGCACAGCAGTTAATACTCTAGGAAGTAGTCCTTCAGAGCTTGGGCTGCTTGGGAGCTTCCAGGAATCTCTCTTGCCTTCTCCAGGTGATGGTGTGGATCCATGGAGGTGGTCTGGTTGTAGGAATGGCTTCTATGTATGATGGATCCATGCTAGCAGCCATTGAGGATGTGGTAGTGGTCACTATCCAGTACCGTCTGGGTGTCCTGGGCTTCTTCAGGTGAGACTAGGGCTGAGCTGAGCAATGGCAGCAGAGAAGACCCTAAACAATCCTTTGATCCATGTCCCTTCCATTTCTCAGCACTGGAGATCAACATGCCAGAGGCAACTGGGGCTACCTCGACCAAGTGGCTGCCCTGCACTGGGTCCAACAGAATATCGCCCACTTTGGAGGCAATCCTGACAAGGTCACCATTTTTGGGGAGTCTGCAGGTGGCACAAGTGTGTCTTCACTTGTTGTGTCCCCCATGTCCAAAGGACTCTTCCACAGAGCCATCATGGAGAGTGGGGTTGTCCTGCTACCTGGCCTTACTGATACCCATGAGAAGGTCTACACTGTAAGTGCCTCAAGCATCATAACCCTAGTCTGCCCCTCAGCCTTTATCTTCTGCTACCTGGTGTTCTGTTCAGTGGGGAACCCAATGACCAGAGAAATCAGTTTCTTTCCAGTAATTTTTGAGAAACTCTGGGGCTAGTCTCTACTAACCTTTTCTTCAAACTGTGTGAGTATGCTATTAGAAAGCTGCTCATGAAAGCTTCCGTCACTGACAAAAAATATGGGTGTGTTTTGGGAGGTGGCTCAGTGGGGTTTTTTAAATGCAAGACTAACAACCTAATTTCAACACTCCAGAACTCACAAAATCTTGGAGATAGTGACATGTATCTGTAATTCCAATGTTCCTATGGCCAGGTAGGAGGCAGAGACAAGATAATCCTTTAATGTTCACAGAGCAGCCCAACTAGTTCAGGGAGCAGAAAACAAGAGGGCACCCTGTCTCAAATAAAGGGGTGTCTTGAAGAAAGGAGACTTGGTCCTCTAACAATCACATACAAACATTGGCATCCTTACTCCTTCTCTTATATATGAAACACAAAAAGATGGATAGAGTAAATAAAACTACCCTGAGAACAAAAACTATGGAGGTAGACAGGATACTGCTTACTGGCTATCAACTTTGAGGAAAAGGATATGGGGAACAATTTATATTTATACTGATCACCAAACAACAGACACTATAGTGTGGTATTTAAGGCACTAGTATTTAGTTAGAATTGTAAAAATTCCAATCCCTGCTTGTTCCCCTTCACAGACGGTGGCTAACATATCTGGATGTGAGACCATGGACTCAGAGGCCCTGGTGCACTGTCTGAGAGGCAAGAGTGAAGCAGAGATTCTGGTTATTAACAATGTAAGTAGAATAATGCATCTTGGAAGATATAATCAGACTTTGTTGTGTTCTTTAGTTCTGTGTACAGTGTGAACAACAAGATAGACTAATCTAAATGTAGATTGTCTTCCAGAGTGAGCTGAGCACACGGAGCCAAGGAAGAAATGAGAAAATAATGGAGCTAACACACTGGGCATCACCATATGTATTTGAATGGCCTTTAGCATTGACTTTTAATTCCCCTTAGGTCTTCATGATGATCCCTTCTGTGGTAGATGGTGTATTCCTACCCAGGCATCCGCAGGAATTGTTGGCTTCTGTGGATTTTCACCCTGTCCCTAGCATAATCGGCATCAACAACGATGAATATAGTTGGATTATCCCCATGGTGAGGTTCATTTCCAATCCGCTAGGGGTCGGGAGACTCATATGATAAGCAGTGGGAACTCAATGCATCTTTAATCTAAGTCCATCATATTCCACACTTAGCACTATCTTCTGCCTTCCAGGTCATGGGCTCTGCTCAGACAATAAAGGGAATAACGAGAGAGAACCTGAAGGCTGTTGTGAAGAATACAGCAGCACAAATGGTGAGTGAGATATCTCTGGTCCCTCATATCTCCTTCTCAGACATCACCCCTATTAATGAAGATCAATATATATGTGTGATTCTGTGAGGGATGATCTCAGAGAATGAATCTTATTATTTATACTCTAACTCGTCTAAGGGCTCATTCTCCCCATACCAAAGGCTGATGCTCACATAAGTGAAAACATGCCTAGCCTCATTCTTCCTGCTCTCTTTGGTGTAGATGCTGCCTCCTGAGTGCAGTGACCTGCTAATGGAAGAGTATATGGGGGACACTGAGGACCCCCAGAGCCTCCAAATACAGTTCACAGAGATGATGGGAGACTTCATGTTTGTGATCCCTGCTCTCCAAGTAGCACATTTTCAGAGTAAGTGCATCTGTAACAAGGCTTATGGGAGCAACTCGGGGATTTAGGTGATGGGTGAGCACTGTGGAGCAGTGTGGTACCCAGGTCTCATGTCTAGTTGTAGAGAGTGACATATAGTACAGAGGAGAAAATGGGTCACTGATACTCTATTCACTCTCAAAACAACTATGCTGGAAAGGCCATGACCACCCTATAGCCAGGGCTTTTCCACAGCTAGTGCTCCAGCTTGGAGCCCCTTACATTTAAATATTATGATTCCAGGTAACTTTATAGCAAGGTACCTTGTTACAAAATAGGTATCAGAAAACTCCAGATGAGGAGCCACTAAATCACGTTTTGTCCCCACTTCCAGGTTCCCACGCCCCTGTCTACTTCTATGAGTTCCAACACCAACCCTCCTTTGTAAAGGATGTCAGGCCACCGCATGTGAAAGCTGACCATGCTGATGAGGTTCCTTTTGTTTTTGGGTACATCTTGTTTGGCATGAAACGTGAGTCTTCCTTATTCTCCTTGAACTGACTGGGGTCCCAGATGATACTTCAGGTACTCCTGAGCACTCAGTCCATTTGAGGAAAGGTAGGCTCTGACAGAAAAGAAAATCAAATGTGTGACATACTGTAGCCTAAAAAATTATATCAGAATTAGAATCAGGACCCATCTCAGTCTAGCCTGTGCTGGAGCTGTCAGCACATTGGGGCAGGAATTCAATTAGAGGCATGCACGGATGTTGGATAAAGTAAGTAACGAAGCAAGGTGACAAAAACAGTAGTCCTGGATCTGTAAACAGCTGAGGCTGTCATTATAAATCATGAGTTGGCAGTTGTGTGAGGAGTCATGGACTTCAACATTTGTCTTCCTCATAACTCCAGTTGAACTCACTGAGGAGGAGAAACTACTGAACAAGAGAATGATGAAGTACTGGGCCAACTTTGCAAGACATGGGTGAGAACACACCCTTCTCTCAACCTTCCCTATATGAGTTACAGGGCTCTGTGTGTCCCTATCTAGTCTCCCTTTTGGATGGTGGTCTCTTCAGCATTCATGGGTCTTCCATCACAAGATATAGATTTCTGTACTGGATAGCACATTTATATAGACACTTCGTAGGTGTCAGTTATTGGTCATCTCACAGTAACCTGGCTCATGAGCCATAGTGTTACGGTACTGTTCTTTAGATCTTACCTCTTATATGCAGACATAAAAAAGGTCGAGTAGTCGTTCCCTACATGGAGCAGAAACCAGTGGATGACAATAGTAGCTCTATATCAGGACACCTGTCTCATCACTGGCCTAATTGCTCCACTGCTCTGACCCAAATCAGGGGATCAGACTTTGAATCATAGTGACCTCACCTTTCTCACTGGTTATCATATCCACAGGAACCCCAACAGCGAGGGTCTACCCTACTGGCCCATGTTGGACCATGATGAGCAGTACCTGAAGCTGGATACTCAACCTGCTGTGGGACAAGCCCTGAAGGCCAGAAGGCTGCAGTTCTGGACCAAGACTCTACCCCAGAAGATCCAGGAGCTAAAGAGTTCACAGAACATACACAAAGAGCTGTAGCAACCTGTGTTTAGAATGGCATGTTGGGTTGCCTGCTGGTGGGGTCAGCTTGGGGTTCCCAAAACATATTGAGGTACCTGGGTTGATTCTAACATTCGCATAACCTCTGAACTTGTATGTTCTTCTATGTTTATCACAAATCCTCTGCATGTGACTCTTTATCCTGCTGAGTCATCTTTAGTCAGACCCACTCAATAAGTGCTCAAATAACAGTGTGCATTTGTGAGCCCTAAAGTACCCATCTCCTTTCACATTCCACTAGTACTAGGTCCCTTTCTTCCTCCCTTAACTTCTAATCCTTATGTCATCTTCTCTAAAACCAAAACTGTCTTTGTAATAAAGAAGAAATTTGATGAACATTGATATCAATAAGAGACCAGATCCTTTGTGCTAGAGGCCCTGAAATATCCAAGCCCCTTACCTCTGTTCTGTTTGCACAACAAGCCAAGTTTTCCTGGGTGGGAAAACCCCATTTCCCAATCCAGTGCAAGGAAGATCAACCAAAGGACAGCATGAACTTTGGGGTCAAAGTGAAGATTATTGATTGTCCATCCTGGACACCATGATTAGAGAACAATATCATGCAGGAGGGCTGGTGCCAGGTTCTCCAACTCTGGGCTCATTTTCCAGTCCCTGCTGCCAATGGATAAAACACATCAGGCAGTTCAGGTAACACAAAAATTCTAATGCATGTCTTTGAGTTTAGAAGAGCTGGGATACTCTATAACAAGATTCTTCCCTCCATCTTGGTCCCAGAGCCTCATCAGTACCAAATGAGCATGCAGAACACTATATTAATTATGAAGCTGTTGGTCATTTGCTATGGATTCTTATTGGCTAGCTCTGACTTAATTATTAACCCGTAACTGCTAATCTGAGTATTTCCATGTGGCCCTCTCTTCCTGGAAAAAAGGGTCCAGACTTCTTATTTCTCTTGGGTCCTACATGGTGACTGACTATGCCTTCATTTCCCAGAATCCTCCACCTATCCTAGTCCCATCTATCTTGTTTCCCTATTGGTCAATAGTGCTTTATTTATCAACCAATAAGACAAACACATACACAGAAGGACTTCCCCTATCAACAGTCCATCTCCCAAAGCCTAGCTTTTCCTTCAGAGGGGAAGTTGTGGAAAGAGATAACATCTGCCAAGGCCAAGAATGGGAGCACAGAGAATTTGAAGGGAGACACTGAATTGACATCATGCCTTGCTGACTGGCGAAGTCAGGCACATCCATGGTTGTTCCATGCCAGTGGAAACATCAGAAAAGCACTGAGAAGGAAGGCCTGCAGAGCCAGGCCGTGGGTGCTCTAGATTTCTGAGTACTAGAGAAATAGAGCCAGGTTCTCAGGTGGCACTGATGGCTGGCAGAAGTAAACACCTATCCAGTTCCCTCCATGAAGTCTGCCCCAGCCAAATGGGAATTCGTGACAGGGTTCTCTGGGATTTAAAACTCCTGTTCATGTCCCAGTATGTCAGTGTTATCATAAGTCCTGAGGATCAAGAGGGTCCAAGTGCTGGGACCAACAGGACCTAAAAATGTTTGTCAGGTGGATAAATGACTCTGACTTTGTTCTCAGTAGGAGTTGCCATCATACTAACCACAGGATACAGGATAAATAAACATCATTCCAATAATTGCCAATTTAGGAAAAGCTGCTCTTGGTGAATGAAACATCATGGTTGTGTCAGGCTCCAAGTACAGCAATTTCTCCAAGTTTTGTCTAATGCTATACTAATGTCAGGCATAGCTGGTTGATTCAGTGAACTTCATAGTCAGAGAAACCATGTGGCAAGGATTCCCATGCAGGCAGCAAGTCACTGAGAGCAGAGGGTGATCCGTCGGCCTTGGAAAGATGTTTAGCAAAATCATCTGATGCATGCATATGCTGCTGCTCTGGCCTCATGGACATCACTTGGCACAAGAGATGCTGGTTTGTGTGGATCAGATGGGGGAAGGCATCCCAGAAACACTAGGCACATTTGAAGTTTAGGTCTGTCATATTGTACAGTGTCACAACATGATGCTCTATGAGGTGAGGGGCAAGGGAGGTGAGAGCATGTGGAGGTGACAAACCCAGACGGGGAAGAAGGGCTTCCCCTGGACACCTCCCTGCACCTTTGTGCATGGAAAGAGTCAGAGTTACCTAAGGAGTCAATGGTATCCAAGGTAACCCCAGTCTGAGACAGAGAAGAGTCAGCATTCTCCTGATGTCCATCGTCAACTTCACTCAAATCAGAACTTGCACAGCCTAGGTTTATTAGGATCATTAGATGAAAATGGTGCTTCTTGCACGTTCTTCCCTGGACACTAAAGGGTAGACAAGCATACAGCACAGCCTGCCTCAAGTGCTGGGGGAGGGAATAGTGCAGGAAGGTGGCGACCTGATGCTTCCACTGCAATCCTAAGGCATTATGGAGCTCCTCCTACAAACACACCTCTGTGTGCTTAGGGGACTCACAGAACACCTTAGAATTTCAATAGCCATATCATTTTTAAGAGCTTCATTAGTAAATGAGCCATATATGACAAACCCATCAATTTATCTTCACGCCTTTCTGATTTTGAACAAATGGAGTAGACATTGTAACCATGTCCACTTCAAGTGGACATAACACTACCATCTCCTCCCTTTACATTGGCTACTGTCCTGAGCCATGTTTTCTGACAAGCAGACACCTGCTTTCTGGTCCTGGGGTTTAGAAAAGGAACATAATTTAGAAATTTTAAATCTCTGCATATATTGTCATGGAAATGACATTTTCTGTGGCACAATTGTGCTTGACATGTCATGTTGCCTATGTCCCAAGGACTCTTCCGATATGCCATCAGGTGAAGTAGAGAAACTCTGGTGTCTATTCTCATCTCCATTTTCCCTGGGATTGGCTACAGTGAGTGCCATCTCACCCTGTCCTGACCCACTGTCTCTCTGTTCATTTTGTGAACTCCTGGCTCTGTCTACAGTGTGAGGATATGAAGGACCATACGAATGCCTAGGGAAGTGCCGTGTACCAGGGAACTGCTGAGCATCTCAAAGGGCATATTAATACCCCTCTGAATCTCACAGGGTTAGTATTCTCTTTGGCCAACAAATTGTACTTAATGGTCCCCATTTCTTTATAAGCATGTGAAGATGTAGAGCAGCACCTATCAGGGCTTTTCTTTTCAGCATTGAGAAGTGGGAACAGTTTCATACTAGCCACAATGTACCCAGGGTACCCTATAGTATTTTCAGGACACATACTATCGGTTGGAGATGCTGAAATTTTTCTTTTTTCTTAATGAAAGAATGAACCAGTCCTTCCCCACCTAATTCTTGTACAGTTACTGTCCAAGATGTCTTGGTGTTGCAGCTGAAAAGCCATTGGAGGGTTAGAATTCAAGCTCCTCCCACTCCAGCCTGTCCTACTTCCTCCTGTACACACCCCATGTGAGCACAGTACAAGAATCCAGGTAAAGGGAAGAGCCCGTCCTTTAAGTAAAGATGATGTGCGACTGGTACCGCCAAGGGACCCTGGAGGCATTACTGAGCTTCTGCTGTAAACACATCTCTGTGGGGTTTGCATTTCTGAGGATGTACAGGACAGTTCACCAAGGGAATTTTATAAACTTTGTAGCTCTCTTACCATTAGAAAGCTTTGTTGTCAGATGATTTCTTTGCATTCAAATTTACCTTTTATCAGCATAACTTGGTAAATTTGCATAGGAGTAGGAGATAAGCAACAGCCCATGCTTCAAGTATGAGAATAATTCTTCGTTTGGAAAATTTAGCTCATGATCCTTTATGTTTCTGGCCTCTGCTTCCTACAATCACTTGACTACTTTCTGATGGAACAGTTTGGACAAACCACAGAATTTAAAAACAGAACCCTGGCCATCCTAACACTGAATAGGAATCATTTGTTACTGGTTGGTCCTGCTACTAGGTACAAGTGTGTTGTCCTGTGGCTATCAGTGCCATTCTGCACATGCAGGCAACACATTTTACACACTACCCAGTTCAGGCAAACATGAGTGATCTGATTTGACTACGATTAATCCAGTTCTTATGAACCACTCAAACATGGGTCTTTGATATCGCTATTTTCTTTTCATTGCTCTAAATAACTTGGAGCAGACTGCTGAATAAATTAACACCAGTCTTGAAAAAATAAACACACACACACACAGAGAAAGGGGAATTGAGTGGGGATCTGGGAAGAGTTGGTCTAGCTAGGGGAATAAACATCATCTCAATACATTGTATACACGTATGAAATTATCAAAGACTAAATATAGGTCCTAGATATACACTTAAGTGACAGAGAACTTGTCTCAAGTGTATGACACTAGATCCAATATCCTGTTTCCACTTCAGATGTTTCTTCAGATGTTTGGGGAAACTGATACCATAGAGGTGTTTGGATGTCAAAATCTCATGTCAATCTGTTAACAATCCTTAAATATATTCATCTATGAGTAGTTTATAAAGCCTGTGATTTGTCTCAGCCCTGGTGTCATAAAAAGTTCATGTGATCACAACAAAACCATCATAAGCTTCAAGCTCAGGTCTAAGGCAGATATATATGGACTGACTACTTGGAAGACCAAGGCAGAAGGACTTCATGAGCTTGAGTTGAAGGTCAACCTATATCACACACATACACTGCATTTCAACTGCATATATGCATAGATTAATCCATGTTACTTACATACATAAGTATGTATCTATATTAAGCTAATTGACTTATAACAATTAGAAATTTGATCACAAATTTTGGAGAATAGGTAGTTCATACTTAATGTACCATCAAGCGTACTGTATGTTGAGGGCTAGCTTCCTCATTCAAAGACTATTCCTTTTATTTACATTAGGCAGGTGGAACAAATAATGGTGCTCTTGACCTGAGCTACCTAGTGACCCATCTCATAACATCCTCCCTGTAGAGTTCAGGTTCAAGTTGACATGATAACAGATGACATAGAGGCAAAGACCAAGGTCAGATAGAGACAGGAAAAGGCATGAAGAGACACCTGGTTATGCAACTAGTCTATATCAACAGCAGTAGAATTGTTGAGTTCCAGCACAAGTGTGTGTTTACCTTTTGAAGGAGAGGTCAACCTGCTTTTCATCATGACTACACCATTTTGCGTCTGCTCTAGCCATGCGTTGTGAGTATGCCAAGGGTTCCATGTCTTTGCCAACACTGATTATATTTGTATGCTATAGCGGTACCTGGGGGGCTCTCTAGGAGGTTCAAGCATTGCAGACAGGTTTTGTCCTTTGCCCTTTTTTCTATCTTGCTGAGCTGTTAGACTACATTCCTAAAGCTAGGCACCAGGATCTATTTTATTTGCCCATTCACTCATTCTTAA